TAATCAAGGAACTACCAAGGAGACAATCAAGCAGAAAATGATACCCTAATCAAGGAACTACCAAGGAGAAACCTCGACCAACACTGGCAGGGCAAGAAACTGTATATAAACAGGGAGCAAACCCCACACTCACTAGCACTGATGATGTTACCTAGTCACGTAATGAAGCCTCTGCAATCAACCAACCAAGCTCAGAGAGCACCAAGGACTCCACCATTCAACCCTGAGCTACAGATATTATCTTCTATTGACTTGAAAAAACAAGACAAATTGTGAAAGACTGAACTTTGGGGACTGAACAGCTAATTTGGGGAGCTTCGTTAATTATCCAGTCTTGTCTCATTGTCTGATATCCATGCTTTAGTGGGTTGGTATTATGAATTAGCTTACTGCAAGCAAACTGCTGATAGAGCCAACAAAATAAGGATAACATTTGAAGTTCTAACCTGGCAGAAGCAGAAGAGATTTAAAATAGAGGCAAAGTTTGCAATATGTGAAAAGCTAGAAATGGCTATTAAGAGTATTTGAATTCTAAGCAAATACTGTAAAAAATGAAAAGTCCCGGTGAATATGAATTAGCAAAGAATTGTATTATTTCTTACAGCAGAGAAGAAATGTCTCTCATTTTATTAAGTGGATTAGAAATGTCTTGGTTTATTAATGGGATTCAGCTAGAATAGCTGTTTCCGATCTGGTTACCCTCAAATCAGAAGTATCCACAGGGAAGGGAAAGGGAAGCAAATGACAAAAGCAACATTGTGCTGAAATACCATCAGTGCATGTACAAAAGGGATGTTGCTTATAGCACGCCTCTGCTCCCGTGGTGTTAGACTTCAGTACCCAGAGAGTGTAGTCACTGGAAAATGATAGGCATTGAAATCCAATTTATCTGGACAACACCAAGCTGGGAGAGCTAAACAAGAAGGACCTAGTTGACTTACCAGGGAGATGCCACGTGTGGGAAATCCACACATCACACAGACATTTTCTAAACAAGCATGAAATGGCAAGATTTTTATCAAAGAAATAGAAACAAAACTGGGAAGTGATGCAAATGTCACATTTTTAATTGTGTTGTTGTTTCAGAATTCCAGATTCCTTGGCCTTTGGTGATGGCCTTTGGGACACTTGGCCTAATGGTGATGCTGTCTCTTGTCCTCTTTTCCAAACAGCAAAAGTAAGTTTGGGGTAGATTTTTGCCCCCAATCTAGTCATCCATTTTCTGTTGCTTTTCTCTAACACAGAAACTATTGGCAGAGTCAATTTACTCTGGGTCTCCAAGGTACATTTGTTATTTTATCAGGGCAAAAGGGTTTTCAGATACTCTTTCCAGCCAAATGGTTTTCTGACTGATGGTAGATTGTGGTCACATAGGGGACCAAAATAATCTTTATGGGAGATGATGGAATGGGAAACTGTTGAGGGTGGGTGGGTGGGTGGGTGGGTGGATTTATTATTTAAGGGGACCCTAATATTTGCAAACAATAAAATAAACTTTAAGAAAAAAATAAACAAGTTGAAAATTCCAAAACAGCCAAGTAAAGTCTAGACATATTCAATGGGCTGTTGGATGGTTATGAAATAATTCAGTAATCTGTAATGACTATTATAAATAAGCATGTCAAAAGGGAATTGAATGTATGAATAATGATATCAGCAAGAACTTCCAAGGTTGCCACATTTAAACTCTCAAGAACAGTTTCATTATATTTTATTTGCTATATTAAGCTAACCCTCAAAACACCGCAAAGGCAGAAGACTTCAATTGTCTGACATCCATTATTTGATTTTGGAGGCATGGAATTTGAAGCGCTCATATACCACAGATCACTCTGATGAAAACCAGAATCTATGCAAATTAAAATCCATTCATTCATATATCAAACAGGCAAGGATGGGCAAGCTGAAAATATTCCAGGGTACCCCCTGAGTTCTTTTAAAATAAAGTGTGCAAATAAAAATAACCAGAGCAAAAGCCTCAAAACTGAATATGTTCTTTATTATAACATTGGTTCATCCTAATCTAAAGCTGGGTGACCAGTCACTCTCTCTCAGCCCTAGGAAAGAGGCAGTGGCAAACCACTTCTGAAAAATGTTGTCAAGAGAACTTTAGGGGACAGTTTCTAACAGTCAAAAATTACTTAAAAGTACAACGTTAAGTTTGTATATGACGTACTATTATACTTTCTAGTTTCTGTACTTTTACTAAGAAATATGTAAACATTTTAACATATCACTATTACATGTATTTGCAATTTACTCATATTATGGCACACAAACCTGTACTTGGTTTGGGAAAAGCTGCACAAAACCATTCTTTTCCTGCACACAGCATGTCAGAAATTAGAGGGAACATTGCTCCCCAGTTGCAATTGAAACTGATGGCAGGGAACTGATTTAACCTGCAACAGATCATTAGCCAGTTTGCAGCATGACTGAGGCCACAAAGACTCTGGAGTCCCTTATGCTAGGTCTCCAGCCCATCCTTTGATGCCTCCTTTTCCCACTTTCTGACATCAAAATTTTGGAAAATAACAACTCTGGAGATCAGCTTCCCATTCTCTGAAGATGGACTATTTTAAAGGGAGAGTTCTGTCTTATCCCCTTGCCTAGGATACCTTCCTAACGAATATAAGGACTATACCCTTTGTACTACTCTTAAGTTAGCTAGGATAAAATCTAGACTGTAGCATTTGAGAGTGCTGGTTGGGAGATGGATGCTACATAATTTTGAATATTCCCCCACATAAAGATGTCTGCATGAGAAATAAATAAATTAAAAGTGTGTTGGTTTACAAGAACATCTTGAATGTTTTCTTAAATTTAAGTGTGAATGTATTGCATTAGAAATAAAGATGCCTCTCCTTTTTTACAACCCCTCCCCTTAAAATCTCTCCATCTCAATGTACATGTTGACAACTAGAGGAGCCTTGTGGGTTGCATCCAGTTGCTAATATAAATCATCAGTTCAAAATGTTAAATATTCTAGCATTGGTCATGCCTGCTAAACTGTAAATTCAAAAGGTTAAGAAGATATTATGCCAGCTGCTTCATAAGTTCAAAAGATGAAACAGAGATAAGGGGAAAGCAACAGTCATGCAGCAGTTATGGAATAGAGAATGAAAGCTGCAATCAAGACTTCAGAAGTGAAGGCTATTTACAGTTATGGGAAAGAATAAAGAGTAGGAGGATCTCCAAGCAAAATGAAGATAGAATCTACAGAGCTGGATTCAGTTTCAGAGGGCTGCATTCAAGGAAGGGATTAAAATTAAAAACCCGAAAGCCAATAACCTGGAGGAGGAGGACAAGGTGGAGGAGATGATGATGATGATGATGATGATGATGATGATGATGA